TCAAGTTTACTCTAGAGTCAGAGGGAAACTCAAGATTTTCTCTTCTACATGTTTTGTTGAGCGAAAAACGACGACCGATATTTCAAAAGCCAACTGACTTAGAAAAGGGTTTTAGTTATCAGAAAAAGAAACTTGAGTTATTACTTTTTCTCAAGAGTCAGACAAATAAGCACTGAGAACGCAATCAGCGAACAAAATAGTGGATTCCAGGAACTATTTGACGAAGACAGACACCTTTACAGGATCATCGAGTGAAACATACAATGCTAAAAGCAAATTGTAAGATCCCTAACAGTATCAATGATTTTGTTTGCGAATGTTTTATCTTAAAGAAACTCTTTTATTCTGTTGAGCCTAGGACCTTCCTCCTTAGTGGTAGTCTAACTAGTGAATATGTCACGAATAAACTGCTACTTGAAGCCATCTATCAATCCACTTGAAATTATGAAGCGAGGAACTAAACAAACAATACCCTTTCTGAGCACATCTACCTACATGGTTAACAAAAAAAGAACAGAGATAAACCAACAGATGAAGCTTTGGACAGTTCATCAATTCTGATTACCTGCGAAGTTAAACTAAACTGCAGGATAGAACTATTTATCTGAAGTTTTTGTAAAGCTAATGCTTCAATAATAGTCAGACTTATGCAGAAACTGTGTCCAGTCACTCATTTAACAATACGGCTAGTGTAATAAGGGTTACGGGAGGAAACTAATTATAGTTATGCAGTAAAATTAACCAGTTGACGTTTAAAAGTGGACTATTAAGTGTTGACGCAATGGTCCAAAGATTAAATTCTTCCTGAACTACCCAAATTTTGTAGATTTGGTCCTTTAATGGGTTGTGGGTATGCACTTTTGAGGAGTTAGTAACTACAATAAAATGTCCCTACAGTATTCCGTAGTCTTCAGCCGTTGGTTTACTGCAATCAATTCATTTTTTGAATAGTCCTAATAATTCATTTTTGTATTGACGTTAAGGACTGTAATTGATTAATCTCTTACTGGCATATGTGCATCCTGTGCGGATCGCTTCAATATAGCCTGAAGTCATGAGCATTATAAACAGAAATGGATGGTTGTTAGCATTGGCTACCCAGTAGGTAAGTTGATAACGCGATGACGTTTGAAGTAACTGCTATTTGGTTCGAGTTGCGGAGTGAACATCAACTACTCGGGATTTAGGTATATCCAGCTAACGAGGCCCATACAGAACGAAAAGCACGTCCTGGATCCCGCTATACATCTCTGCTTACAGTCCTAACAATTGTCTGAATAAAAATCGAAATGTGATGAATAATTTAAAGTAGGCAGTCAGTTGAAAATCGTTACATTTAGCCATAATGTCGTTCATATATTTGATTCTTATTATGAAGTTTTCTAATTCCATTAAATGTAGACCATAAATTTCGACACTAAATGTTGTATTATACCGATTATTAACTAATTCATAACCATGTTGAATGCGAATCATAATGAATCAGGAATGAACGGTAGGGTAGATTTTCATCTGTCATTACAATAAATGACGAGATTGAAATGACCCAAACATCTAGTTGGGTTTATTGTGTTATGTTGATACTAATTTTGTGTATATTCACAGCTATTTTTATTGCGTATTGTTTGATTTTTTTGAATACCTTATATTAAAAATTATTTTAAATTAAAACATGTTGTAGCGTACATTTCGATGAATTCAAATTAGGATATTATTCAAAACACCAAATGAAAGCTTTCTAAGCTGAACAGGAAATTCATAAATATAATTATTTTATTTTTCTAACAAGTACCTAGAAAAATATAATACTAGTCTAATGGGAAGTTGGATTCCAATAATCTAATACATCACTTTGTATTTTGTTTGCTTGTCAGTAATTGTATATTCCCAGGATAGTCTTATTGATTATCGAAATTTTCCATAACAAAACAACAACTTCCTACGCTGCATGCTTATGTATTATAGACAAATAACTAACGACTACTTTTCACATTTATCATACAGTTTTATAAAAATATGTGATAAAAAGTATCATGGAATGCGATTTTTACTATTTATTCAAATGTGCCTTTTTATAAAACAATAAAGTAGCTGAAGTTGATATTTATCACCAAAAAAAGAGAAAACTATTCCAGCTTTTAAGAAAAAAAATTGACATTTTCAGCTGTTTAGAACGATAATAATTTACATTAAGAAACCAGCTAGTTGTGGTAGGATAGACTTAAAACTAGATTGAAATGAATACAAAGATATCAACAAAATTTTTCTAAATCAGTATCATGATCACACAGGTTGTAGGTAAGAAATATGGAATGCTGTTAGTTCTTTGTGGATTTAGGATGTTCTGCTGATTGTAAATCAAGCTTACATCATATACATTAAACTAATTCACTCTGCTATCTAAGGATAACATTGAGGAATAGTACAAAAATCAGTTCTGTTTACTTTTTATCTCAGAAATGCTCGATTTGAAATAGTTGAATGCGGAGTAGTGTTAATCTCTATATCAATGTATTCAATTAATCATCACAAATTGTCTTAAATGATGTTCAATTCAAAAACAGTCAATTTCAGCATATCTGACAAACTGTATTCAAGATGAAGTAGTAGTAGTAGCAGTATTGATGTCATTAGAATAGTTCGTAAATTCTGTACTCCAACCGTGAATAGAAACAGCTGCATAAAATAATTCAGTGTATATAAAGCAATCGACTTAATATTGAAATTGTCCACATCACATGATGCATACCATAAACAAACAATACATTGTGGTAGGATGAAGCGACCTGTATCAGCATGCCGTATAAGTTAAAAAGAATGTATTCGTAAAATTTCAGCGAATGAATTTGAAGTGAATCCAACGTTTCGCCTGGCAAGTTTATAGACCATGTGATGCATGTATATTCAGAATAAACTTATTCACGAAGTACTAAACCTAGTCAGCTGCTACATTCTTATTTAAAATTTTTGAACATTTTATATCTGTGAGTTAATTGATGAATATCATTGAATTAAGGGAAACGAGTTGCTTGAGACTACCTCTTAATCCTCCTAAACTAACTCAGTCACTCAGTTGATAATAACAGTGCAAAGAATCATGAAGAATTCTTAGATGGATCAAAATAACAGTGGACAGACGTGCTTTACTGGGAACTGAATAAACTTTTACTTTTGTGGAATGCTGTCCGCTGTTGACGAAAACCTCATTTCGTTTTTGATTTATTTCATCATAAAATAGTTAGCGGTATGTTTATTTGCTTATCACATTCCTACTATAAAAATAACATCACTCTTGTAATCAGAAGTTAAACTTATTGTTTTATTTAATTATCTTGCTTCATATTAAATACTGTTTGAACCTGCTTAAGCTGTAAATAGCATTATTAAATAAACAATTGAAAAAGGCAGAGATTATTATTAACGTTATTATTGTTAGAGTAAAAAAAACAACTTAGTTTCCTTAAAACTGTGAGAAAAACATTTTCCATTAATGTTTACATGAGCCACCAGATGTTAACATTACTGTGTCGTTATTACAAAATATGGTTAGTCAACAAAGCAAGCTGAAAAGTAACTGTTACTTAGATATCATGCACATTGTAAATTTCAAGTAAGTATTATTTTCAGAATCGTTAGTAAAAATTTTGGAAATACTCGAACCTGTGGCCGATTGTTTTATGGTCAGTCTGGAAAATACAGCACTTCGACCAATAATTGAGATTTCATTTATATAAGAAATATATGGATGATACACTACTTGTGAAGATATGGATTCCAGTGAAATTTTGCATTGATTCAACAAGTGTCATCACTCAATTTAAACCACATTGGAAGCAAAGGAGAACAAGGAATCTCATTTTCTCGATGTCCGGTAGAAAATAAGGTCAGATGGTTCCTTGCAGAGATTTATATATAAGAAACCGACCTGGAATGTTTAGTATACGAATTTCTATACCTGAATCCCATTGAGTAGAAAGAGAGACAATTCACTCTTTATCCTCATGGACTAGGCGAATATGTTCTAATGACACGCTGGATGAAGAACTACTTAAACTTCGACAGATACTCATCAGAAATAATTACCTAACTAGACTCGTTTTCAGGAACTTAAGAGCAAGGCAGAATCCTTAAAATGCAACAACGATCCAAATGAAAACTGTTTTTATGAATATCGGACTTAAAAGAGATACGGCTGCTGAAATCTCGAACAAACCAATTTCAGAATCTCTAAATGAAACCATCTACTCAGCTCAGCTTCGCACTGTCTTCTCAAGCCGGCCTACCATTCATGGATATGTTATTGATAAACTTTCGCTTTGGACCACATCGATGTGCATTTTTAAATTTACTTGCTTCTATGGGGAATATTACATTGGCCACACAAAGCTATCACTTTCCAAACGCATCTCAGAACATTACCTGGCGTGGCTTTTAAAGGGCGAATGCAAAAGTTACCAATTCATTACAGGAGCATCTAATCAACTCCGGACGCGTCGTTCCAGAGTCTTCGTTCAAAATAATCTAGACAATCAAAGGAACTGGATCGAAGGGAGGTCGAATAAAAAACCTATGCATTTCTGAGGCGTTGGCGATCCACCAATTCAAACCCTAACTAAGAGTGTGAAAATGACACGTCAAACCTCTCATTCTTCCTTGGCCCAAATTCCCTTATGTAGTGTTTCGGTTGTTTTTTTTTTAATTAGTGTTTTGTAATTTTAAACCGTAATCAGTTACTATTATCCTTTAGCAATTTCCCATGATTATCATCCAGTTATTATTATGACCTTTACGTTTTTCATTTTTCTTCATATCTGTCAAGTGAACAATTATCTTTGATAATTCTAACCCGTAAATTATTTTCATCCTTCTATTCTTTTCTAACCTCCTGATCACTACGCAACCTCGTTTGATAATTAGAGTCTCGAATCACTTTATGATGCAATCTTTTCTATCATTTTATGGAATATATATTTACCATACAAATATCAAAACGAATGTTGAAAAGAGATTTTTTCGTTGAATTCTCTTTATTTCTATTTAAAAGAATTATATTTAATGAAATAAATGATGTCGTTTATACTTATAAACAATCTGTTTCATCAGACTCCGAAAATTCTGATAATTCGTGCAAATAGTTGTAGGAAAAATGGTAAGAACATAAGGGAAAAAATTCAGTATTTATCTTTTGGTGTGAATAGTCGATAACATGAGTTGACTGAAGTGCAAATAATGATCAAGGAAAAATGAATAAAAAAAACCGTTTAAGAGATAGACAAAGAGATGGAGGAAAAAAGATCAAGCTGATCTTATTCGTATGATATAGTCCCATTTTCAAACATACTACCGATTTATATTTGTGGAAATATAAATGTCATGAATAATATTCACCACAAGCCATACTATCGACATCATTCACACTCAGACTAACTTGTTTATATCTAATCAAATTGTCGCTAGGATTAATGATTCCTATTTCTTTGTTTATAAAGTTCCTTTCCTTCTCACTTGTCAATTTATTACAACAACTGTTATAATTACTGTGATAATCACGCTCAATAGCATTTTCTGATTTTATTGAACCTAATGAATAACGATCTCTAATAACATTGAAACTTCTTTTATTGTATAACGCTTTCTGACTTATATTTGACTTTTTCATAAAATTCGTATCTCCCAACTGGCAACCTTCATTATGAGCTTCTTGTCGTTTTAAAACTTTTTCACGTCTCATTTGATCATGATAAAATGCAGCGAAATTATTAACAATAATTGGGATTGGTAGACCGACAACAAGCACACCGCATATACAGCATACTGAACCGATGACTTTGCCTAATACTGTTTTTGGTGTGATATCACCATAACCAACTGTTGTCATAGTGATGATAGCCCACCAAAATGTAGCCGGTATGCTTTGAAATTCATTCTTATTATCGTCTTTTTCAGCGAAATAAGCTAAGCTTGAAAATAATAGAACAACAAGTACAACAAATAGCATTAATAAACCTAATTCCTTATAAGATTGCTTTAATGTATAACCAAGTGCTTGTAGACCTTGTGAATGACGTGCTAATTTAAAAACACGTAATATACGCAGAATACGAAACATTTGTACAATTTTACGCATAGATACAAGTGAATCTAATGGGGAATGAAGCCATACTTCAAAAATCACAGAAAAATAATAAGGTAGTATAGCAATAACATCGATAAGATTCATTGGACTTTTAATAAATGTACATTTATTTGGCGCAACTGATAAGCGTAATGCATATTCAACTGTAAACCATATTGTACAAATTGATTCTAACGTTTCTAAATGTTCGTTTACATAATCTGCATTACTTGTGGTATGATTATCATGATTAATTCCAGACGAATTTCCACGTAGTTCAGGTATTGTACTTAAATTCAATCCAATTATCGATAATATGATGAAAGCTATTGAAATTACAGCAAATATCTGTGTAAAAAAAGACAAAGATAAAAATATAACTTATCAAATGATATCAGCAAATAACATCAGTCTACAAAGCTAATAATAAACTATTTGCCTCGATCATAATATTCAGTTTCGGATTAATATAAAACGCTCGATAGCCTTGTGTATTGTATATGATATTAAATGAATGAACCGAATGGTTAAGAAACTCTACTTAAGTGCCTTGCTTTTGACACTTACTGGTGAAGATTAACTGTAAGTTGGAAGGAAATTATATGTCTTATGTAAATATTAACACCCATCATTTGGTGCTTGAGTTCAGCCTGTTACTAGTGTCGTTTTTACGGCAGTACCATCGTTAGTATCTAACCTTTATTACAGCATTTATAGCAACGGAATAGCATAACAGTACTTACTACTTTTGGTAATCAATACGTTTGTGATTTCAAACAAGTTTTGAAAAATTTATTTTCCGCACTCTATATTTACTTTTGGGCTTAAGTGACAACTTAAACAGTTAGAAATTGTTCTGACGATCTAATTCATATAACTGTATTATGTACTCTTGAAATAAAAACTGTGATATTTGTGCAATGTGTATTCGTTATTACCTACTAGTAACCAATATTTATGTAGGAAGAACCTATAGACGATCCGTATATGTTTATAAACCATGTAAATCTTCCAAAATGTCTAGTAATATCCCTGTCATTTTTGCTGATAATTCCACATTGCAGGTCAAGAAAACGATGAAAAAAAGGATAGAATTTAAAGTTTTACGAGCTACATATACATAAATACTTCAAATTAAAAAATACGGGCAAATACAATATCGTTATAGAAAACACTACTGAATAATTTTACACTTAAAAAGAGAAATAAAGTATGGTGAAGCTGACACTTATATTATGACAATAATTTTGTAGTGATATACAAAAGAAGATAGACAATGTACGCTTTTTAGTGACTTTCGAAAGCCTTAATAAATCGATAATATTTAATTCATCTCTTTGTCCAATCTACCTTGCCTATATGGTCATTTGGTTGTTGTTAAAGGTCGTTAATAACAGGCAATAATTTTCGGTGAAATTTAACAGAATAAGTCTAAAATAATAATAATAAATTGCTAGAAAAAGTCATATTTCCATGGTGGGCTAGCTTCAATTGACTCATGAATTCAACTATTAAATTATTTCAATGGTTAAGATCCTGAGTCAGTTGAAGCTAGACCACCATGGAAAACCTGGAAGCACTAGACGGCGGTTTCGTCCTATATATATATAAATTTTAATTAAGGGTGAATTTCATTAGCGAATAATGGGGATATGTACGATTGTGGTGAATTTCGTTATATTTAGACGACACCAACTGATATTCACAATGAAACTAGAAAATTATGTATTAGGATAGTACAATATAGTTGGTTTTCTTCATAAATTAAAAAATAGGCTAGTACAGAAGTGTAATCAGAAAAAAACCTACAATTTCTTAAAATGGATAAAATCTAGTAATCGGAGTAAAAGCAGATTTAACACCGATTGACACTAGCTGAAGACTCAATGAAATCCGTATGGTATTGAATAGCTATTTATCCTAGATCACATAGTAAGTATATTCAGACAACGCAAGGTGCGACTGACTAGTGGGAAAGATAGGTATGACCTTATGGATGACATAATGGACTAATTTAGTACTGTAAATGACTACTCAATCTGTTTTTGTGTTAAATATTTTGTTATTGATTTCTGGTTCTAAATAAAACTATTGGACAAGTGCAGCAACAGTCCTCGTGATTCAATGCGCACTCAGACCACAATAAAATTAAAAGCTATCTTTACCTGGAATCCCATAGGTGGGGCAAACTAATCATGTTCAGTACCCTCCGTCCCTACACAAACTCTATGAAACTAAGTTGTAATATCGAAGACTTCCAGACACCAATAAATTCGTATTACAACGTGGTGGTTGTTTATTGCTAGCAAGGAAAGAGCTGACAATATTGTCCGGAACACCAACAAAAGCTTTGTAGTTAAACTACTCAGCATAAAAATTAATACCACAACTGAAAAAAAACAATATAAATGAATAATTATATGTAACATAGTAACATGTCCAAAACAGATTGTGAATAAAATGGAAGAAAATATACTTTCTCAACTGAAATTCCTTTGAAATAATAGTCAGTCAGCCAAGTTAATTTTTCTTAATTCCATATCAATATTATTTTAATAATATAAAGAGGGAAAATATATTTATAAAATTTCGTTTTACATTATTCTACGGATTGTTGTTAATCTTTGATCTTAGATAAACAATACCAAAACAACAGTATTTTCATAAGGCTTAGATTTAAAAGTCGGTTTCTTGAAATAATATTAAAATGTATATGAAAGCGTTACAAGAATGGTGTTTTAGGTTGTCATAGTATCGAGCTGTATAATTGTCAAATATTTATGGTAGAAAAGAGGTAGAAAGTGTATAGCAATACAAAAATTGGTTTTGTCATATAAATGGTTATTATTTATTTAATAAATAGGCCGAGGTTAGGATTACAGCTGACTCAGTCAACAATTAGACTGTTGAAAATTTGCCAACATACTAGAACTCTTTTAAAGTGATAATAATAAACGTTTTGAAATGAAGTGAATTCATTTTATTTCGTGTGCTCCAAGTCAACTACATATTCACCGATCTGTACAACTGAATGAAACGTTTCATTTAGAGCTGCCATGGTGGTCGATTCAATGCTTCTCTTTATTTTCTTTATTTCCTAGTTTTATTTGGTTGACTTTATCTTTGTTTAGTCTTAACCGTTGCATTGTTTATCTTAGTCCAGTTTTCACTTCATTTCCAACCCATAGTTACTATGAAGAGTCTTATTATTTTGACATTATCCAGTAAAATATTTGACACCTTATCCATTTAAGCATTTGACTAATCCTGTCTTCTCAAGTCCTCGTCAATTATTATTATTATTATTATTATTATTATTATTACTAATATTATTATCACCATTATTATAATTACCGTACTTCATTTATTTTTGGTTAATGCTATCACTGTCATCGTTTTGCCTACTCCAGTCATAAGTTGTACATGGCTCTTATATCCGAAGAAGTCATCGTCTCATTCTTTTTTAATTGAGATCTTGAACCAATTGATTCTTTTTTGTAGAATTATTCCTTTTCACTAGTGAATTAAATGAATTTTTAAATATTACGCATGAAATTGAGATTGTAAGACATTTCATTTATTGGTACAAATGATGATTTAGAAAACACAAAATAAAATGAATTCATTTAATTTTACAATATATTGTTGTGTTCGCTTTACAAAAGTTTATCAAGAGAACCTATTGAATGAACCTAGAATTTATGATAAGCCTCATGTTGTTCAATTTCTCTATAGAGTGGTAGAATAAATTGTAGCAATGATTATGCTGTATGAAATATGGAAATGAAGCATATCGCATATCAAAATATTTATAGTAATTTGAACTTATGAATAAAGACCACATAAACATCATTTATTATTTTTTTTTTAGAAAGAAACAGTCACTACTAACCGCTTCATTATCCTTGATATGAATGACGTGAGTAATAAATGCACTCCAAAAACAGATAACCCGTGATCTCTAATTTTAATATGAATTCCCTGATTCTTTTTGCTTAACTTGTAGTTAAACATCTTAAATGGTATTACAGTATGGATATATACTGTATGATTTCTACCTCAGTTACTAAAACGAAATCATTTTATACCGTAAAACACGAAACAGATAAAAATAAAGGATACGGTGATATTCTTTGCAGACTTCCTCATAGAGTAACTACTTTAAAATGCTAACTTAGTTTGTGAGTTTCGTCAGTTAGACATAACCACTTCATGTAAACGTGTCTTTCAGTAACCGATGCCAATGTTCACTCATAAACATACTACGACCGTCTTGTCCAGAGTATCAAGTTCACGAGACAAATTCATTTATTATAGACCACAGTTTCGGATGAAACATGTATCTATTCTCTCGTGGTTTTCAGTGGTTCCCTAATTAAAGTCGAGACTGTCTTCAAGGTGATTTATGGGCAAGAATTCAGCAAAATTGCTGGCGTACTGTTAACAAACACATACACAGAGCATAAACAGAGTTAAAATAAACAAAGTAGTTAATCGCGAAAGTAAACAAAAAATTACTTTTTATACATCTATCGAAACGCTACTGAATAATAAGAAAACACGCATACACACACTGGCCTCATCATCTGAACTCCATTTTCAATATTATAAAAATGATGTGTCTTGCAAAAGCACTTTGCATCAGAGTTTTTGTGCAATTCTCATAGTTTTCTATCTTATCGTTTTTCATTTTTTGGCGAAACAATTGCTAGAAATAAAAGAAAACAATTCTAGTAGTCCAAAGTTTACATCATAACGAGGTGGAATTATCCGAGAAAAACCTAGTGCGTACGCGTGTGAGAACTGTTAATAAGCTTCACTAACAAGAAGAAACAAATAATAAGCAGTTCCCGGTTTCCAATCATTCTCGGTCAAACATCAGTTCGTTAAAGAAACTGTTAAAATTATAAAAAATACCAAAAATTTGTCAAATGGTATATTGGTAGTACTGTTTTTGTTAAGAGAAGCTTATAACTAAGAACATGATTGATGAATTTCAGTGTGTACATAAAGTTAAAGTATATACATTTAAAAAAAATCAAATTATATTAATTTGTTTTCCATTTAGTGGATATTACTCAACATTGAACTGCAAGTAAATCCTAAATATGACGAAATATGAGTCCTTGATCCATAACTAACAATACTGAAAAGATTTATTAAAGTAACTTGGCGAATAATACGCTTTCGATAATGATATTAGAAGACGATGATTATCACATAGTTTTGATAATCTTCGTCTTCTAATATCATTATCGAAATTTATCAAAGGGACTAATTGTTTTGAATAATACGCTGTCAAAATACGGTAAAATGGAAAAAATTAATTTATCGTAATTTCAACTCCT